CTGGGCCTCTGGCTGCCCCTCTGCGGGCACTAACCTGTGGCTCTGTCCCGCCAGGTTCACGGTGCTCTTCTCCCACGGCAACGCTGTGGATCTGGGCCAGATGTGCAGCTTCTACATTGGCCTAGGCACCCGTATCAACTGCAACATCTTCTCCTACGACTACTCGGGCTACGGCGTGAGCACGGGGAAGCCCTCGGAGAAGAATCTCTACGCCGACATCGACGCGGCCTGGCAGGCCCTGAGGACGAGGTGCGCTCCGCCGGGGCTGCGGGCCTCTCCGCTGGCATCGTGGGGGGGGGGTGGGTGCAGGAGGATCTGACCTTCCCTGAGTCCTGTGCAGGTGCTCGGTGCTGGAAGCCCAGTGCTGGCAGAGCAGAGGGGCTGCGGGCCAGGACTCAGGGCACTAGCAGAGCTGTGGAGAGGAGGGACCCCGCGGCTGAGCTAGCCGGAGCCGCAGGAGCACTCCTTTGGGGAGATCTCTGCAGCTTCCCTCTGCACTTGGTGTCGGAGGGCAGCTTTCCCTGCGGTCGCACAGCCCCTCTGCGGGGGGGCCGGGCAGTGCACAATGGGGGCGACAGGCGGGAACCCTCCACACCTTTGAGAACCTGGGGAAAGGGTCCAATTTCAAAGCCTGAGAAGGGGGCTGTAAGGGGAGGGGATGTGGGGAGAGAGGGGCAGAATTCCCAGCTATCTACAGAGGGGCGGTGGCCTTATGACTTCAGCCTCAGCGAGCTAGGACTCCTGGGCTCTTTTTCTGCCTCTGCCACCAACTCGGTGGGTCACGTCACTGTCACGTGCCTCAGTTTCCCCATCAGTTCAGTGGGGCGGTGGAACCCAGACTCGGGTGGGGAGCTGTGTTCCAGGTGCAGGGACGCAGGATCTCGGGGGCACTCCCCTGGGATGAACCGTCCAGTGCTGCGGGGAGTCGTGTTTCTACAGATTCCCCACGGGCTCCATCCTCTAGCCCTGCAACCGGCAGCTGTTTGGGGTCGGGGGGGGGCTGGCAAGGCAATGCTGGCTGCAGCACATGGCTCTGCCCCTCCACCTGCAAGAAGCCCCGTCCCCCAGTTCCCTAGGTCAGCCTAGATCCGCACCAGAGCGAAAGGCACATGGCTGAGGCCAAGGGCAGGCAAAGCAGGGCGGGGAGATCTCCTCTCAGCCCGGCATCCCCTGACCAAGGCCAGAACGGGGTCCCTAGAGCATCAGGAGCACCCGCAGGTGCGTGGGTGATGCCCCAGCTGCTGGTGGAACAAGGAGACCTGGAGGAATTCTCACGGACACTCTTTTTTTCGGTGAAAGAGGCAGATGCAGGTCGACTGAGAGATTCTGTAAATTCTGATTTTGGCAAATTGTCCTGGCCAGAAGAAAAGCAGCCTCGGTCGCCCTCCCCCTCCCCCGTCGAACCAGCCGCGGGGTGTTCGTGGGACGCTGCTTTTGAAACGTAACGTTTCAGTTCCGCCATTCGTACGTTCCTTGAGTGTCACAAACAAAGCTCGGGGAGGGGGAGGGGGAGGAAAGGCTGCACAGGAAAACGTCTGGAGTGAGTCGTCCGACTTGGCCAGCTTGCACAACGTCTGAAGGTTTGGGTGTTGAGACACCGTTTTTTTTCTGGAGTTTTCTGAATGGCCAGCGACCTTCTCCCCCCTCCACCGCCCCAGCTCCATTTCTCTCCCGGCTCTAGGTCTGAGCCTGTGACTGCTCCAGCTGGGAGCTGCGCTCAGGCAGTAGCAGCCCTGTCGTGCCTTTAGCTCTAGAGGTCCCTGCTTTGCAGCCCCAGTGAGCAGAACTCCCCGAGCAGGGGCTGCCCAGTTGATTGTGCTGCCGAATGAGGCAATCTCAGCCCCAGAGCGCTCACGAGAGAGACACCAGGCAGCAGGGGAAACCGAGGCACGGGGCAGGGACTTGCCCAAGGCCACTCAGCGGCAGTGCTAGGAGCTCCCTGGTTTCCCGGCGGCTCTACCCACTCGGCCGCACTCCCGCTACTGAGCAGGGAGGTGGGTTCCCCCTGTGGCCTCTGGAGGAGGCTGCCTGTGGAAAGAGCCTGGGCAGTCCCAGGCCGGGGCCGGCTACTCTGCAGCGGGGGGGCGGGAGGGACAGGCCGAAGACAGCGATTTATCTAGTGGCACCAGGCCCCACGGCAGACTCATCGGCCAGCGCCATGGGGAGCCTTCCGGTCTGGGGGAAGGCAGGACGTGGGCTGGGCTCTGGTAAGAGACGAGGCACAGGGGGGGCTGGGCACTGGGGAAGAG